AAGTGAGCTGAAATACTCTGCCAGGGAACTCCTACAGCTGATAAACTGATAAACACCTTCAGCAAAGTGACAGGATACAAGATTAATTTTAAAAAATCAGTAGTCCTACTATATACAGATGATAAGGGGGCTGAGAAAGAAATCAAAGAACCATCACCCTTTACAATAGCCACAAACAACATAAAATATCTTGGGGTAACACTAACCAAACAAGTGAAAGACATATATAGCAAGAACTTTTGCATCTTTAAAGAAAGAAATTAAAGAAGATACCAGAAAATAGGAAAATACCCCATGCTCTTGGATGGGTAGGATAAACATAGTAAAAACACCAATCTTGTCAAAAGCAATCTACAGATTCAAAGCAATCCCCATCAAAATCCAAGCACAAGTCTTCACTAACCTTGAAAGGATAATACTCAACTTTATATGGAAAAACAAAAGACCCAGGATAGCCAAAACAACCCTGTATAATAAAGGAACTTCAGGAGGCATCACCATCCCTGACTTCAAGCTCTATTACAGAGCTATAGTCCTGAAAACAGCTTGGTATCAGCACAAAAATAGACAGAGAGACCAATGAAATTGAATAGAAAATCCTGATATTAACCCACACACCTATGAACACCTGATTTTCGACAAAACGGCTAAAGTTATACAATGGAAGGAGAAAAGCATCTTCAACAAATGGTGCTGGCACAAATGGATGATGGTGTGTAGAAGACTGCAGATAGACCCATGTCTATTGCCATGCACAAAACTTAAGTGCAAATGGATCAAAGATCTCAACATAAATTCAGCCATACTGAACCTCTTAGAAGAGAAAGTGGGAGGTACCCTTGAATGAACTGGTACAGGAGACCGCTTCCTGAACATAACAACAGTGGTACAGACACTGAGATTGACAATTAATATATGGAACCTCCTGAAACTGAGAAGTTTCTGTAAGGCAAGATCAAACGGCAGCCCACAGACTGGGAAAAGATCTTCACCAACCCCACATCTGACAGAGGGCTGATTTCCAAAATATACAAAGAACTCAAGAAACTAGTCACCAAAACAGCAAATAATTCAATTTAAAAGTGGGGACAGGACTGAATAGAGAATTCTCAATAGAGAAATCCAAAATGGCTGAAAAACACTTAAAGTATTCAACATCCTTAGCTATCAGGGAAATGCAAATCAAAACAACTCTGAGATACCCTCTTACTCCTGTTAGAATGGCTAAAATCAGAAATAGCAATGGCAGTTTATGCTGGAGAGGATGTGGAGAGAAGGGAACATTCCTCCACTGCTGATGGGAGTGCACACTTGTACAGCCATTTTGGAGATCAGTTCCTCAGGAAAATGGGAATCAGTCTACCACAGGACCTGGCAATTCCACTCTTAGGCATATACCCAAATGATCCACATCCATGCAATAAAGACATCTGTTTGACTATGTTCATAGCAGCATTATTGTAACAGCAAGAACCTGGAAGCAACCCAGATACCCCTCAAATGAAGAATGGATAAAGAAGATGTGGTACATTTACTCAGTGGAATACTACTCAATGGAAAAAAGCAATAGAATCTTATAATTTGCAAGCAAATGGATGCAACTTGAAGAATACACCCTGAGTGAAGTAATCCAGTCACAAAAAGAGGAACATGGTATGTACTCACTCATATATGAATTTTAGACATAGAGCAAAGAATCGCCAGTCTACAATTCACACCGCCAGAGAAGCTAGGATACAAGGAAGACCCTAAGAGATTCATACAAGGTCCCCCATAGAAGGGGAAAGGGACAAGATCACATGAGCATATTGGGAGCGGGGAACATAGTGAGTGGAGAGGGAGTTAGAAAGAGGAAAGGGAGAAGAGGAGAGGTGAGGAGAATATGAGGATTGAGTCAGGGGATGAATAGACAGACCAAGAAAAGAGATACTGTAGAAGAGGGAACCATTATAGGTTTAAAGGGAAAACTGACACTAGAGAAATGTCCAAAGAGCTACAAGAATAACTCCAACTAACAATCTGAGCAATAGTGGAGAGGCTACCCTAAATGCCATCCTAGAGCCCTCATCTAGTAGTTGATGGAAACAGAAGCAGACACCATCAGCTAAACACTGAGCCGAACTCCTGGAATCCAGTTGCAGAGACGAAGGAGTGATGAGCAAAGGGGTCAAGACCAGGCTACAGAAACCCACAGAGATAGCTGACCTGAATAAGGGGGAGCTTATGGACCCCCAGCCTGATAGCATTGGATAAACCCAGACTCCCTGAACATGGGTCTCAATTAGAAGGCCTAGACAGTCTAAGGATATTGCGGTTAAATAAGGATCAGGATAAACAAATAAGCCGAATAGATGTTTATTCAGGGAGAAATAACTTACAACCTAGACAGATGAACACCAGCAAGTTCCACCGGATGCTCCCCTCTCCAAGACCCACCAGCAAGAGAGTGTTCCCTGGCTCCTCCTCAGACCTCCTTCCACAAGTCACTTCCGCCCCTGGCTCCACCCCCCAATGGGCGTGGTCAGTGCTACAGAAGGAGACAAAGTGAATATCCCACTACATAAGGAACCTCTGATAGTGGAACCAAGATGTATCTCTGGTGCACAAAGGGACTTTAGGAGCACATTCCCCATGGAGGGATACTCCCTTAACCTAGAGGCAGGAGGCAGGGCCTAGGCCCTATTCCAAATGACTTAACAGATTTTGATGATCCCTCCTGAAAGGCCTCACCCTCCCTGTGGAGTAGGCGGGGAATGGGATTGGAGGGGCCTCGGGGGACATGGGAGGATGGGAGTGTGAGGGAACTGGGATTGATATGTAAAATAAGAAATAATAATAATATAAAAAATAAATCAAGTGGCATAACTTAAATTGAAACTGAAAATTCCTATGTTCTGCCAACTTTTCAGAACAGCTGTAACCATTGAAAGTACAACATGTATGAAGGGGCTTACTGGATTAAAAGATACTTTATCAATGCTATTTATCATGGTTCTTATTTGGGGTTTAGAAGTTTAAGATAACCACAATCCTTTTAAACAATGAATAATAGCATGAAATACATGAAGTGAAGGAAGAGACATGGCTCGTTGAGAAACCAAGTAGGTACCATTTCAGAGGTCCAGGCAGGGAAGATGAGGTCTAGGTTAGAGGCAGTAAGGATGGAAGAAAGAGTGGATTCAAGTACTATTTTGATTGTAGAATCAATACTAATTAGCCAGGAGGAATGGAAAGAATCAAAGAACCAAAGGTAAGAACATTGATGGGTAGTGATGCTATGAATTACTTAGTCCACTAATACTTCTTAATTGTTGAAATTCAGAAAAGAACAAGAAGCATCCCGACCTTGAGTTCCATGAGTAAGACCTCCCCACTACTTCTAGGTCACTCTCCACTTTTACTTCTTCTGTTCCTTCGTAATACCTTTAGGGACTCACTGCCTCTTTAGTCAAGCATATGCCTTTCAAGTTGACCACAACCATTGTGAGTGGGTTCTATACCCAAGGAAAACAGCTCAGTATTGATAAGAAGTTCAATCAAAGTATAAGCAGGCATCTTTCTGTACCATGTTATACCAGCATTCCATCCCCTCTGCCCCATCCCTGGCTCAGTCCCTGGATCATTTCCTCCTCCCCAGACAGATGTTAGGGAACAGCTGGTAGGACTCACAGCAGCGGCTGCACTCCCTTTCTATCTGGAAATGGTTCTTTATTTCTGGTATCACCTTGAGTAAAGCTTCCAACCATGCTCCTATGCCACTACAGTAGCAAGGGGTAGCTGTCCTGGAAGGGTAGTGATTAGGAAGGCAGTGGTAGAGGTGGTGTCTGGAAAAGCCCAATAGCAATGACTGATTCTTTCCTATTTGATAACCTATTGGATAAGCTCAGCTTTTTCTCTACAAAGTAAGATCTACATACTCCTCTGCCCTTCCTTTCCCTCTCTTATCTATCTCCTCCTCATCATGGAGCTTAAGACTTTATGTCTTTGTGTGTGCATGCCTATGGAAGTCAGAGATAAACCTTGGGCATCAATACTTGAGACAGGACCTGACATTGACTTTGAGCTAGGCTAGCTGGTCTAGAGATCTACCTGAAGACAGCTAGACTGCTCCATTTCCCCTATTGCTGAGGTCACAAGTGCATGTCACCATGCCTGGCTTTTGAGTTCTAAGGGGTCAAGCTGAGGGTCTCATGCTTGTGTATCAAGCACTTTACCAACTGTACTGTAGCCCCAGCTCTAAGATTTAGCCTTTTTAAAGAATGCTAGAGAGTAGCTTTCTTCCTCTACCTGCCCCTGGCTCTTCCCTTACTCTTGACCCTCACTTTGGCTTTCCCTCATTCTTACCACCCTCTGCCTCAATTCCCATTGTATTTTTTCTGGAGCCAGGTCCTAGCTCCTGTCTTTTCCTTTCTTATTTATTAATAAATTGTCCACTGCATAAATGGACACCAGCCATTAGAAGCCCTTTGGCCTTCAGTGGTATTCCATATTGAACACCATAGTATACTGAACATCATGGCAGCATAGCTTCATGATTTGACCTTGGATCCTTGCAAGTTACTGTACTTTTTAAGCCTTAATTGCTTCCTCTGTATTGTATTAGAGCCTTGTGAGGATTAGATGAACTGGTGGGCCTGAGACTGGCATACACTTGTTGGTGAATATGCCTTAGTCACTTACCAAAAGCATGAAGGAAAGCAATGTCTTTGGGAGGTTTAAGGATTCTGTGTGGCTAAAGACATGGACTTTGGCATTTTGAAGCAGTTTGCCACATAGTGAAAGAAGCTCTTTTTAGTACAGGGAAAAGGGTAGGGAGGCCTCCTGTCTGAGGTGGAATGAAACTCCCTTCTGTAGAATCCTAGAGGGAGATAATGTCGCAGCTTGCATAAAGGGAAAGTAGAAGCGGCGTGAGCAGAAACTATCAAATACTTGTTCTTGCTTCACCCCTCTCTTCATCATAGCATTGTGCAAATTCAGGGGACTGTTCTTGTTGTCCACAGGGAATTTGCCAAAGAAAGAGAGAGAGTGGAGAACCGAAGAGCATTCATGAAGCTTCGGCGCCAGCAACAGATCGAGCGAGAGTTGAATGGCTACCGTGCCTGGATAGACAAAGCAGGTATGTCTTGACATTAGGGGACTGGTGGGCAACTGTCCATGCATAGTTGACCATCCTTGCCCAGTGCCTCCAAGACTCCCATCCTGCCATGGGCAGACGAGAGAGCAGAGAGAACCACCGAGAGCCCTGAGAGTGTTCAGGTTCCTGTTCAGTTTTGAGGTCTTCTAGGGTCTGACTTTCCCTTTATCAGCTAATCACCTGCCACAGAGCAAGAGGTATCTCACTGAACTCAGTAAAGGAGAACAAAATCCAATCCTTAGGAAATGTTGGTTTGGTGATACTCTATGCTATGCCTCACCCTATGCCTGATAATCTATGGATTCAGCAGATATGAACTGAGTGCTTACTTGGTCCCAGGAACTCAGAGTACAGAGTTGAGCCAAACAGACCACCATGACTCCAAAGCTCATATCTCCTGGAACTCATTCTTGTAGAGTTGGGAAGGAAGAAATAAACAAAGTAATTAACAAGTCACAAGAAGGCGATGAAACAGAGCACGCAGGGGGAGGTTATGCGACAGCATCCCACAAAAGTGTTCAGCATGGGCTTGTTTGTATAGGAACTTGGAGGAGATGAGGAATTGTCCTTGGGAAGAACTGGAAGAGAGGAATCATAAAGGAAAAGCCTATTTAAGGGATTGGCCACAGCTGCTCCATCAGCAAAAGGAAAGAGAACAAGGCAGGAGTGGCAGGAGGCAGTATGAAGGCAGTCTCAGATGAGTCACAGCAGTTATGTGTGTGAACCGATGGGTCACAGGGCTTTCTAGTAAGCAGAGGTGCTGTGACTTGGAATTTTAAAGGAACATATGTTTGCAGTACTGGAATTAGACAATAGAGAACAGGACCAGAGACAGGAAAGAGATGAGTATAGGGACCCTTGCAGCTATTCAGACAGGAGATAAGAGTGAGGACAGGTTTTCGGTCATCTGATACCCGAGCCATCTTTACTGCTCACTCATGAGAATAGTTTGGGCCCAGCTATAGGAATGGGACCAGACCTACCACAATGGCATTAATTCAGAGCCACCAGACTCAAGGTGGGTCAGGTGCTTATGAGAGGCATCAGTCATTTAGTAGCTGACAATAAAAAGGAAGCATTTGCTTTTATTTTAAAGACTGGATTGCTTCGGTGTTAAATATCTTCATTTTCCTCCAGAGCAAAGAGTGATTTTTAATAATGATGATGATAATAATAATAATAATAATAATAATAAACTTCTATGTGACAATCAACATCTTTCTCTATTCTTAATAGAAAGCCAACCACCTTGATTTGATGCTTAATTCTGTGAGCCTCATTCTTCCATAGGAACTTGCAGTGATACAATTACACTTAGTGTGACCACCATCACTCCAAAGCAATATTTAAGTTCAGGAGTCAACTTTTGATTATCTGAGGGCTGAGAAGGGACATATATGATTAAAAGCCAGACACATACTCCCTGTTTTAGACATCTGAATTTCCTGTCATCCCTGGAGGCAGGAGCTATGCTGTTAATTGTGTATCTATTTTGTCCCTTTCTCCTCCAAGCCTATTGAGTAGGGGTGAGGGAAATAAAAATCTCATCTACCCCTTTCCAGAATGGTAAGACTTCCTTACCATGGGAAGGCCAGCTGAATTGCCTCCAGGCCAGACAACCTGCTTGAAGTTTCCAACTGTCCTTGGCATCCTCAGTAGTGAAGCCATCTGACAAACTGCTGTGTGTGCTGGCAGCAAACCCAGGGAAGACTTTACCCAGAGCTGATCATGACCCCCCTCCCCAGGGTCAGGTGCCATGGAATGCTGTTCTTTTGTAGTGTGCTTTTGCAGTGCTTGAAAAATTCCACCTTTTCCCTGCCTTCCAATAGCCAGTCCTCTCCCTCCACTAAGAAAAAAGGCACACTGCAAAGTCAAATTGTGCTTCCTGGCCCTTCCCTTTACAAGTGGAGCGTGAGTGAATCAGAGACATATGGGTTACATTTCCCTGGAAAGACACTCAAGTTCGAAAGCAAACTTGGCAAAAGGCATTGGTGGGGGAAGGGTGGTTTTAGCACATCCAGAGCCCTTGAAGTGCTTCTCCAAAATCCCTCATCAGCCCTACAAGTCTTCTGTCTGTCTGGGGAGCTCTCAGATCTGCCCATTTCAAAGTCAGGCACTATGCATAGCAAAAGTGACTTCTGACTAAGGTAATTAAGTTTGATATGAGATGGTTTATAAGGGTTTTAATTCTACGATGATACCCTACATATGTGCTATAAAGGGTCTCAAAAACCATGTATGTCTGCATGAAGGAGAACTGCACCTGTAACACTTCACCTGTTAATGTGCAATTTCACCAGAGGCTGTACTTGAAAACCTAAGCTAAACATTTATGATATGCTATAATTGCTATCCTGCACAGTAATGTCCAAACCTCAGAATGTTTCCTGGGAAACACATTCTATATGCTCTCAATTTTATATGAAGGTAGAATTACACTAATGGCTTTACCCTTTTCTACTTGTCTATAAGTGCTTGTCTACTTGTTACAAGTGCTTAAATTAAACCATTGCTTAATAAGGTCTGCTACAAGCTTTTCCCCAACAGCTTGGGTCTTTGAGAATTATTGTCAAGCTTCCATAGGCTATAGTAGGGTACAGCTCAAAACTTAACCCCATCACACTTAGAGGGGCACCTTGGGACTCAGCAGACATAGGACAGAAAGGTTGGTACCGTTGAAGGGGATGTTGGTGAGGTTTACTCATATAAGTCTTAGTACAAATAATTCTCATCAGGTCATGACACCTCACTGAAGAGAGGGAGCCTGGGAAAAGAGACTCTAGGAATCACATGATCTCTTTACATACCAGCAAGGGATTGTATGTTTGGCACCAATGGATTCTTAATTTTCTTGCACCAGCTGTAGATTCAAGAATCCATTCTGACACTAAACATTACCTGAAGGTAATATATACCTTACAGATTAAAGCCTTAGTCCCATAAGGCTATCCCCACTTTATAAGCCAGAAAGCGGGGTCCCACCCAGGTGGGTCCCAATTATGCCTGGCCAAATATACATTTGGAAGTTCTATGATTCATTTCTCTTATAAATTCAGTAATTTTTTTTAAAGAAGAACAACTTCTGGACACCAGGAAAAGGATACTTACTATAAATTATACAACTCAGAAACAGTGTAGGCCATGGATACACAGGATAACATAAGGATGAGGTTCACCAGCCTCCAAGCACACAAAAGTGTTCACTGACCCAGAAACCCTCTAAGTCCATTGTTTGGGAAATTTGTGGGGGTTTCCTTAATTGACAACTGGGATTAAATTGTTGGTCATCAGCAATAGCACTGTGACTCTAGGCTCTCCTCTCTTCCTCAAAGGTAGGGATGGAGTATAAAAATTCTACCTCTCTGATCATGTGGTTGAGGTTTTCTGTCTACCAACTGCTATCCTTAAGTTATCCAGGGCCCTATCCTGCCATGAGTCATCTCATTAACATACAAAAGACAGCTCTGTGCCGGGAACGGGCACAAAATCCATATATATATATATCACAGGGATGAATTCAGAATTTGCCCATATATATATATATATATATATATATATATATATATATATATATGGTGAAGACATAAAGACACATATCATAAGCCCTGCATTTTCTCTGGGGACACTTGGGCTCTTCCATTGTCCTTGCCTTAGAGACATGACCACGTGTGAGTCAAAACATGGCCTTACTTTCCTGTATGAGGGGACAGATGCTGTGGTCTGGGAGAGATGAAGAAGGAAGTACTTTCTGAGGGATTATGAAAGAAAGAAACCCGGGTAGAAAAGACAAAAAAAAAAAAAATTGTGTTCACTCTTATAAACTTAGAAAATTTTAACAAAAAAAATACCTCTTCCTCCACCCCCTGTAAAGCATCAGTTGTAGTAGCCCTGAACTTGGTCAGCATTCCTTGTGAGCTCCTCTCTGCACACCCTCCTCCTTGTTCTGCAGCCTGTGCTCCTGGTGAGGCTCCATTTCTCTCCATGCTGGTGCCCACGATGTGCTCTGAACTCATTTTATTCTCTCCATGTTTCCTTAAGTCAGAGCTGTCCCGGAGGGTTTTCATTTTGCACAATAATTTGGCATTTAGAGATAATTTACTAAATCATTTGTTTCCACACAGAGGAAGTCATGCTTGCCGAAGAAAATAAAAACGCTGGAACATCAGCCTTGGAAGGTAAGAAAGTGCTGTGAGCTGTGCTTCCTTAGCATTTGCCCTCTTAGGCGGTGGCAATCTTTCCTGATCAAAGAGGAGAAAGAAAGAAGAGGGGGGCGCACTGGGATTTGAAGCACAAGTCTCTCCATGATAAAAATCCCTCATGCTTTTAAACGATGAGAATTGAGTCACAGATTTAAATGCCTTTTAAAATGATGGAAATGAAACCCAAGAGTTGCATTGTTCCAGGGCATGTGATTGAGTTCAATGAAAAGACCATCATACAACTGATGGTCTATGAAGGGATCTTCTTTTAAACTGTATGGGGATCATCTTGGGACCACTTTCATTACCGGGAAGTACCATTGTTTATGAAGAGACAGAACAAATAGATAAGGAGTATTTATTTACCTACTGCATTTAGATTTAGATAAACTCCAACTGGGATTCAAAGCCTATAAACATCTGCAGGTGCTGGCAAGCGCAGCGATACCTGCCATTCTGTAGACTTCAGGTTCCTATCACCCTGGTTCCAGTATTAAAGGCCATCACCTGTGTCACAGGCCCCTTGCACAAGGCCTCTTGCCCACAGCCCTCAAAGTTTTGTCCAGGATGATCTGGGTGTACTTATGGCCTCTCACTGGCCTTCCCCTTCCCTGGCGTAGTGCTTCGAAGGGCAACCATCAAAAGGAGCCGGACGGAGGCCATGACCCGAGACTCCAGCGATGAGCACTGCGTTGATATCTCTTCTGTGGGTGAGTGATCCAGTTAGATCTTCTTTTACTTCTCTGGATCTCCCATGAAAATGAAGATCCTGTCTTTTGAGAAGATCCACAAGGAGGAAAAAGAACCCAAAGGATCCTGAATGTAGGGATGTAATTTAGGGAAGGCATGGGAGTCTAATCTAGATGACAATGATTTACAGAAAAGACAAAAGGACCAGGGGATGCTGTGTACATGAAACTTGGGGCTTAGGGTTCTTCAAGTGTGACAGGTGGATCTCATTTACAGATGTGTCCTTTCTCTCTTGGGTGTGACAGTGAGAACCCACGTTGGGGATACAGGTTGAGTATCCCTAATCTAAAAATCCTAAATCTGAGCTGCTCCATTATTAGACATAAACAAACAAACAAATAATATTGTGGCACCACAAGTGGAAAATTCCATAGCACGAAACTTTGGTTTCTCCCACAAAGTTATTTAAAATATTGTATAAAGCTACCTTCAGTCTATGCATATGAGATATATCTGAAACATAAATGGATTTGGTTTGTAGACATGTGATCCCACCTCCAAGATACTTTATCATGTGCAGCTGATGGTGCAGTCACTAAAATAATAATCTGAACTGTGTCTGATCTATATGTTTTGGATAAGGGATACTCAACCCCTATTTTTCAAGGATCCTCAGGACCTATTTCTTCTAGTGACCCACCCTGGAGAACTTGAAGCCATTTGCTTAAGCAGAGTAGCACTTCCATCACGTGACATTGAAACTAATTCCTTTTAACAACCCACTGATGTGACTACAGTTCAATCCTAGCTTCTCTTACAGATTCTGGTTCTTGACAGGTTTCTTCCTCCCCAGACAAAGGGCAAGATCTCACTCACTCCATCCTAAAAAGCAGAAGAGACTTACAAAGCCCATTGCTGCTTTATGTTGCCAGTGGCAGAAATATCACAAATGCAGCAGAAGGATTCCGGTGTCTGAAGCATATTTAAAGGGAAAGAAAGGACAGAGAGAAGCCTGCTCTCTTACAGATATAAACATGATCCTGTTAGGATTCAGGATGCTGGGTGTCTGCTTGGGAATCTTTCAGTTTCCTAGGACTTGAAAGTGCCTGGAGAGGAAAAGCAGGGTCCCTCCCTGTGGAAATTACTTAGCCCATAACATAGGGGTTGCCCAGGTCTGCAATGTGACCATCACCTTGTCCTGGTACTCAAGCTGTCCAACTTGCCCTGTGGATGCCACCTGATCGTGGAAGGCAAGCATGGGATATTTTGTAGTCTCATTCTTCCTCATTTCCCTTCCTTAGGCACGCCTCTTGCCAGAGCCAGTATCAAGAGCACAAAGGTAGACGGAGCCTCCTATTTCCGGCACAAGGAACGGCTTCTACGTATCTCTATCCGCCACATGGTCAAATCCCAAGTGTTTTACTGGATCGTCCTGAGTGTTGTGGCTCTCAATACTGCCTGTGTGGCCATTGTTCATCACAACCAGCCCCAGTGGCTCACTCACCTCCTCTGTAAGTGAACAGCAACTTCTATCCCCTCAAATGGGTGGCTTGATTTTATGTAATAATGACTGAAGGGACCTAAAACATGCTAACTGTACACACTAAAGGAAACCAGAGCTTCTGGAAGTGGTATGGATTATCAAACAACTGCTCCTAGCCTTCATTGTCTGCTGGGTAAATACTTGCTACTGATGAGTTAACACGTTAATGTACTGTAGGTCCTACAAGTTTCTTATAGAGGTTCAGTGGTACAAAGAATTTGAGTCCCTGAAAGCTGGGGGAGAAAGTCCTGGGAACAATGGATACATCAAATGAATCAAAATAGGAATATATAAATCTAATCTGAACATGACTATCTCTGGGTGTCATGGATGGCCAGGGGACTGTTATGTATAAATGCATAGATAAGGATACCTAGCTTCTTTAGTCAAGCCACAGCAGAGACCTTTCTTCTCTGAGGGCCACCCTCTACTTGAGGGCCAATGATAATCACCCTCCTATTGATAAAGGGTAACTATTGGTTGGGCCAGGGGCTCATCCCAGCTCGGAGTGCTCTGAATTTAGGCTTTGTACCCAGTGCTGACTTCTTCCCCAGGAGATCTGGAGCTGCTCTATAAGGGGTGTGTATTAGTTAGAGGGAGAAAGACTTCATGCCATCTATGGATCAAACATTTGTACTTTTACTACTTTCAGACTATGCAGAATTTTTGTTTCTGGGACTTTTCCTATTGGAGATGTCCCTGAAGATGTATGGCATGGGGCCACGCCTTTATTTTCACTCTTCATTCAACTGCTTTGATTTTGGGGTAAGTCCTCGGAAGCCTGCTTGTCCTCCTGTTTCATGTTGACTGGCCATGGTTTTAGATAAGCAACTTGATCTGTCACTCGACATGAGCCATTTAAGTCAGGAATCATAAAAGGAGTATGGTAGTATGGTATGATGAGATAAAGGGAAGTGAATGAATCCTGCTGGGCAAGAATTTGGTTTTTTTTTTTTTAAACCTCTTTCAGTCTTAATGTTTTTATTGATGTATAACACATATACTAAAGAGTGTACATTCAACTATATAGCTCAATGAGATTTTACAAAGCTACCCATAGCCAGAATTTTGAACCACTTATTATCTTGGGTGAACTCTGAGAGAGGACAAAGGACTTAATTCTAGAGGTGGCTTTATAAGAAAGAGGCTATGTATTTGTTTATTTTCTCCTTCAGTTGAAAATGAAAATAATTGTCTAGGTATGCCCTCATATGAACTCACACACTCTGGTATTAGCATCACTCCATGCAGAACATTCCATCTAGCTGTTTACTTTTCATATAATATTTAGGTGTGTGTCTTGTTGGTAGAGTTCAAGGTGCATTCATGCACATTTACTTCCAGCAGTTCATACAGGAGTCCTATACAAGATATGAGGTATTAGACATTAACCTGTCCTCTACACATAAGGTGACAGACACTGCAGTGCTCAGTTCATACACCTGATTTACATTGGAATAGAGAATCAGGACCTTAGATTTCTAAGCCACCTCTCTTTCTGCCAAACCCATTCTCTTTTCTGCCAAAGCTCCACACAAAGATTCTGAGCACTTGCCCATCTACATTTTTACCAAGAACATACGGTTCTGAGTGCAGGCAATTTTCAGGGATAATAGCTAGTGAGAGATCATTTTAACCTTGATTTTCTCAAACATATATTTTTCAGCACTGCTTTGAAGACTCATTTTCATTATTTCTCCCAGAACAATGTCTACAACATAGTCAACATTCTATAAATGTATAATCACAAAGTAACTCAGAGCCAGCCATAGTGGCATGCCCCAAAACTCTGGATGCTGAAGCTAAAGAATCACAAGTTTGAGATCATCCTGGGCTATGTAGTATATTACAGGGTTGCCTGAGCTATCTAGTGAACCCCTGTTTCAGAAAGCAAAATGTAGGGGGTGGTGGAGAGATGGCTAAGGATGCTTACTCCAATAAGGTGTCTTGCACATGTGTCAGGTAGCTCTCAGCCACTTGTAACTCTAGCTCCAGGGGACCCTATAATTCTGGCCTCTGTGTCACCTGCACTCACACATAACCTACACTTATAAATAATTCCAAAAAAAGCAGAAGTTGAAGCTGTGGTGTTGATAGAACACTTGCCTAGCATGTGCAAAGAAGGCCCTGGATTTTTTTCCATTTCCTATAAACAACAACAATCTTGAAATGTTAATCTCAATTGTGACTTCGGATAGCAATCAGACCCTGTGTCAACAAAGATACTGTTACACTGAGGATTATACAGGACCCCATTCTTCTCTTTGAAAGATATTTAACACAAGAGCACTAAAATATTCTCAGGCATGCTATGGTCTAGAATGATGAGAGAATGTTGGCCCTTTCTGATATTTTGATATTGGAACACAACCTTGAATAACTCAAACTGGTTTCTATGATTTGGGTACCATTTCTTTGTCTGTGTATATAAGGTAATGTGAAGCCAGAACATCCATTGCTATCAAATTTGTGCAATTGCACTGAGTATATATTGAAATTTTGTGAAGGCCAAGTCAGTAAACCAATACCCAGTGAGAAAGGCAAAGGGAAACGGTGTGTGGAGGGGGTGTCACAATATTGTTTTTCTTTGGTAGCTTCTCAAGTACACAGTTTGATTAAGGTTAGGGATGGCTGGAGAGGGAGAGTCTCAATTTCACCAGAGCCCAACGAGAGCTGATGATAACATACTAAGTACAAAGATGCTTCCTTCTTCTTTCTCCCTCTTCTCAACTGTGTCTGGGTTTGTCTCTTAGGTCACAGTGGGCAGCATCTTTGAGGTGGTCTGGGCAATCTTCAGACCTGGTACATCTTTTGGAATCAGTGTCTTACGAGCTCTCCGGCTCTTAAGGATATTTAAAATAACCAAGTAAGTGTTGACACCACCTTTGAGAACTTTTACTCACTTCCCTTCCTTGCTTCCCCCTTCCTACTCCATCTCTCACATTGTTCAGATTTCCCTTCTCTAAAGACAAAACTAGAAAACCGTCAGTGACAAAATATTGAACAACACATTTTCCAGGGGAGGATCATGCTGCTATCACCTTCACAGAAACACAAAGCCAGTTTATCTTAGACTTGTAGGCAGATGCCAAGCTGGCCTTGGGGATGACTTGATAGTGTGTCAACAGCTGTAACCTTGTCTGGGTTTCACAGGTATTGGGCATCCCTCCGAAATCTGGTTGTCTCCTTGATGAGCTCCATGAAGTCAATCATCAGCTTGCTCTTCCTCCTTTTCCTCTTCATCGTTGTCTTTGCTCTCCTAGGAATGCAGCTCTTTGGAGGCAGGTAAGGGCCAGGGGGGTCTTTTCATCTAAAGGAAGCATTGATTAGTCTCAGGCCTGGCTGAACCAAGGTGATTTATTTGGTTTGTTAGCATCTTGTTTGCTCTTTGTCTGAATAGTCTGTGGATGCACATGAACAACAAATGTCTCTTTCAAACCTGTCCTTTCAAAGCTTTCCATGAGTTGATCAGCATGGATCCTCTTAATTGTTGTCCAGCCTAAACTCTGTCTTATGACTTATGTCTTTTAAAGCTCATCTTTTTTCCCCCCAAAAATAGGGGTCACCATCTTCATATAACACGAAGGAGGGAGAGCAATGGGTGGGGAGAGATGAAACTGCAATATGGTTCTGGGAAACTTGGTAAATGATATTTTTATTCTCTCTGAATTTCCTTTTTAGGTTTAACTTTAATGATGGGACTCCTTCGGCTAATTTTGACACCTTTCCTGCAGCTATCATGACAGTGTTCCAGGTATGATGGCAGCTGATAGCTCAGAAGAGCAACATGGGGGCCCATAGACCATGCAGTGTTAGAAGGCAGTGTCTTGAGCATTAGGGCTCCTGTTTTGAGAAGAGAGCATTATTCCTCCTGTTTGAGAAATCATTACAACAACCCCTTAAATTCCTGTGTGCCTGTTACCACCAGCAAAAGAGTTCTATGACCTAGTTGTCCTTCTCCCCACACCTGTGAATCTGCAAGACATCAAGTCTGGGACATTAAGTCACAAGTCACATTTGTGATTTGCCTGAACTCTGGAGCATTTCTGATCTGTATTCAGTTTACTGAGTTAATGGGATATCTTTCCCATGCCATCTCAAAATAATAGAAACAATTAAAAACAAAGCAAAACTTTTTTCAAGCCATAAGGAAAACTCAACATCAATAGTATTTTAGAATTTTACACCTGAAGAAAAATATTGCTTAGGCAGACTCTGAGGCTGAAGTATAACCCAACTTCCAAACTAGAACCACTGAGGCTTGTCCAATAATGCTACTTTCTTGGGAACAATGTGTTGTCACCCCAGGGAACAATCAGGTAATGATCAGACCACTAGATCCATGTGATTCCCACAATGCCTGGCAAACCCGGAAGTGGGAGGGACTCTGAAATATGATGAGCAGAAGTATTTCTTCTTGTTCTCTTTTCATGTTGAATGTCTGTAATTCTCTTCCATATAAAAATAGGATTACTTATAGAAATGGCCTTTTCCCCATCCCAGGGGGAATAGATGGAAAATATCCATCCCTGATATCTTGCCCTTCACATTGACCCCAACCCAGAGTCTTAACCTGCCTTTTGTTTGCTCCACATAGATCCTGACAGGAGAAGATTGGAATGAGGTGATGTATAATGGCATCCGCTCCCAGGGTGGGGTCAGCTCAGGCATGTGGTCTGCCATCTACTTTATTGTGCTCACCTTGTTTGGAAACTGTATCCTCCTACAGTGTTCTTCTGAAGTCTGGCCACTTCCCAGTACCAGCATTTGAGGAGATGATGGGGGTGGGATGGTGGTGGTGGTGGAGGTGGTGGTGGTAGTGATGATGATGGTGGTGGTGATGGTGGTGGTGTTGGGGGAAGGGTAGTATAGTGATGGTGGTAGGTAGGCAGGCAGGCAGGCAGGCAGGCAGGCAGGCAGGCAGGCAGGCAGGCAGGCTGGCTGGCTTTGGATAGGCAAGGGCAGAAGCCACAGGCAATGCTTGCTCATACTAAAGGAAACAAGATTTTCATCTCAAGGAATTTGTGTACTAATTCTGTGAAGAATACAAGCATTAAAAATGCAATTGCCTAAATCTGCCATACAAAATAAAACCATGTAATGCTAATATGTTAAATGGTTGGGGATACTATAAGGTCTGTAAAAATGTGTGAGGTCAGAGATCATTGTATACTGAAATAGTAGGAAGATCATAATACTAGTGAATCAATTACATAGTTATAAACAGCAGAGCTTACCATGTCATAAAATTTCAGCATAAATATAAATATCAAAATTAGCACTGATACCATTAAGTATTAGTAGTTACTGTGTGTGAAATTTTGCTATATAGACACTGTGTCACCTAGTCCTTACCTTATAAGACAAAAGAAAGTACTAGATCATATCAAGTCAATACAAACATATAAAGGAAGACTAACAGTGAAATTCTATAACTCCAAATCTTATACCTCATGTTTTAATTCTGTTGCTGGGGGAGAGGAAATACCTCAACAAAAATCAACTTAGAAGTAGAAAGGGTTACTGTAGCTCACAGTTCCAGGATGTGGTCCATCATTAGAGGAAGCCAACACATTCAACAGAGACTTGGAGCAATTAGTCATAGCACATAGTCAAATGCAGAGAGCGATGGGTTAAAGCGTATGTCAAGCTATTGCTGCTTTCACTACTCTGTTATGATGGTCTGTAACCTAGCACAGGGAGATAAAATACACCCCATATTTTGAGGGGTATTTGATTACAGCAACAGGAACAAGACTAAGACACTGATCAAAAAAATCCAGAGCAGGAAGATTGAGGTTTGAATCCCCAGGACACTCCTTGTTAACTGGATGTGTGGTCTTCAGAAAAGTCATTCGCTCTCTAAGAGATTTTGTTTCCACATTTCAAAAGAAGATAATGATGTCTCTTTTACTAATTGTAAGCACTGAATGAAATGATTATTAAATGTATCTTATAAACTGTGAATATTTGTATAACTCTGAGGTACCTGGGGGAGTGAGACTCACCTTGAATTGGATTGTAGAGCACAGTGGGGGCATTCTGAAGCAGCTGCATTTTTACATAATAGCTTCACACAGAAGATATGCTCTTTTCAGCTTTTATCCTGAGGCCTTCTAGTGGTTGGAACAGACTATAAACTAAATGTGAGGAATGCCTAAGAAGCAGCTACCTGATAAGTCACAGGAAAGGAAGGCCAGTTTGCCACAATGGCAGCCTCTTGATTTTCCCATTGTTCTGTAGGTAGCTAGAACCATCCTTTTATGCTAGAATTAGTTTCATGTTCTACAACATATGGCTCCCAAACACAGATGTTGGGACCTTAGGAGTTAACGTATATGTAATAGAAGAGGATTTCAGGACAAATCATGTCCATCCTGTGACATTTGCCAAATGAATCCGGAAGCTCTCTGGGACGCTAACAAGAATGAGAGAAGTCAGTACCCCATTATAGAAAGTTTTAGTCTAAGTAAGATCCCAGCCTTCTTGAAGGGAATGGTGAACACTGGTATTTAGATCCCTGCACATCTTGTTCAATGGTCCTTTTGTTCCTGTTGCTAGTCATTGAGGCCATTGCTATCTGAAAATTTCCTCACCATATTTGCCCTTTCAAGTGGTTTGATTCAGGAATTGTTTCTTGTTCTATGTAAAGAGGCAATGTGTGGAAAGAGGGAAGACATAATAACCCACTTTCCTCTCTTGTGGCCCTTGGCTGCTGCTTCCAGTGCTCAGACAGAAAAGTCCTGGAGGGGCCATCTCAGACTTGCTAACGCCTTTTGCTTTTTCTTGCCTGTTCATCCTTAACCTATACCCACAGACACACTGCTGAATGTATTCTTGGCCATTGCTGTGGACAATCTGGCCAATGCCCAGGAATTGACCAAGGTAAGCATTATCTTTAAGAGAGTTGTCTTCTGGAAGCTTTTAGGTAGTTGGAGAGTCACACACCCATGCAGGAAGCCTGCTTTGCTTCCACTGAGTTTGCTGAGTTTGTTCAGCATGGGTCTCTTGTGTGATATAGAAAATATCAGCATAACTCCAAGAGCCCTTGCATGGGTCCTTCTCAAAATTTCAGAATGTAGAACCAAGGAAAATAGTAGAACTCTAGATTTTAAGCTCTTTCTCTGCTACTACAACCTGTATCAGTATGACCTCAACTATGTGACCAAATAATCAAGGGCTTGGGTGTGAGAGTGGTCAGGGGCATCATGGCTCCTGCACTATGACCACTAGGGTACTTTATTGTTCATGGTCATTTCTAGAAAAATTTCTATGAAATCAGATATTGCCATTCTCAAAGAGATATTCATTCTTTCATGGAATTCTACATTCTCAGGGAAGAAACAGCATTCATTGCAATGGGATAGACCATGAAATGGGTGAAAATTCTTGCCATACAATGAAAACTTGGTTTTAGGAAGATACACAGTTTACCTAACTTTTCCCACTGGATCTATGATGTGTTGCCTACTTGTCCCACATCTCTTAAAACCCTCATCTCTATAATATGGGAAGGAAAATATGAATGCTATGTGAAAAACTGGGTTTGAATCCTACATCTTTCCATTACTGACTAGTTTAGCTTTGGTGAAAGTACTGATCTCCATTAATACCAGTTTTCTCAGATGTAAAACGAGAAAGACATATCTGCCTATCTTTGTCACTGTATTACAGCAAAATTCAAATGAAATACTGTGGATGGGAACCATAGCATGCTAGGAAGATATGTATATTATAATAGCTCTGTCAATGACCTGGGCTTATTTCCTTGGTGTCATCACTTCAATCAAGATGATACAGGAGAGATAGCTCTGCAATGAAAAGTGTCTGCTACTCTTCTATAGCCCAACTTCAGCTGTAAGCACCTCATGGAGTGCCTTACAACTGCTTGTAACTCCAGTTTCAGAGGAATGCAATGCCCTTTTCTGGCTTTCATGGGAAAATGCATACATCACACACACACACACACACAGAGAGAGAGAGAGAGAGAGAGAGAGAGAGATAGAGAGAGAGAGATGCCTTTCCAATTATAGGTGAAAAATTGAGATCTCTGCCTAGGAACCTAAATGCCATACATGGTTTAATACTTCCTTTTGCTTACATCATCTTGCTTGGGATTCAGAGCTCCTGGGGAGGGTCAAAGGAAGCTGCTCTTTGTTGGACAATTCTAAGTAAACTATCCCTGCTTTGTATCTAGGATGAGCAAGAGGAGGAAGAAGCCTTCAACCAGAAACACGCACTACAGAAGGCAAAGGAGGTTAGCCCGATGTCTGCACCCAACATGCCTTCTATTGAGTGAGTAGGCCATCCAAACACTGACCCTGGGCTTCTGGGGCTAAATCTAATTCATCAATGCCTACAATAATCAGTTGTAGGAAGGCACCTCCTCTGTTCCATGAACTGTTCATAGCACATAATACACTGTTATAGGGTAGGTAATGAGAATAGTGGGGAGGGCACCACTCAAATAAATCCAAGAGGGACCCTCTGTGTCAATAGAAACCTAAACATGCAGAAGGTAGCTGTATTAAGGAAGCATCCCTCAGCAAGATCCAATATGCTTTAGAGACCCAGAGGGATAGACAATACTGAGGCTGGTGAAATTGGCACCAGCCAGTGTAGAGGTCCTAACCCCCAGGTGAAGGACTCAGCATTTATTCAAGTTGAAATCATGGGAATACTTAACATGGAAGAATGATTCATCCTATGGATTTCACTTTAAAATATCACTCTGCCCCATGGGAAATTGATTGTGGGGGCCCAGCATGGAAGCAGTGAGATACAGCTGGCTGTTAGCGTAGAGTGGGTGATGATTAGTTAAACGAGGAAAGTAGACACAGAGGAGATGACTACTCAGTCTATATTTTTGAAGGTGAGCCAATGAGATTCATTCATGGATTAAATTCAGTATGGCTAAAGGTGGATAAAAAGGAGAGAGAGAGAGAAGAAGTTTTATAGTTTTGGAACCCAAACAGTGGCTCAGAGGGTGGGGGCATTTTTTGGTACCTCAGAGATAACAGAAATCCAGAGTTCATTTTGGCTACATTGAATATGAGATGTTTTCTAAGGCATCCGAGTGTGTGAATAGGCTATTGGTTACAAGCATCTGGAGCGTAGAAGAGAAGTTGGGATTAAAATAAAGATTTGGGGGAAGTCATTTGCATTTAGATGGTATTTAAGCCATCAGTGTGGGTGAGATGACCCAGGAAGAGCAGGGACAGGCAGGGGAAGAGTGGAGCTGAGGACAGAGGCTGAGCATGTTCTTCCCTGGCAGAGGAGAACCTGGGGAATGAGGCAAAGGAGCACACCCAGGGGACAAGGGAGGGATAGAAGGCATGGTGTTCTAGAAGCACATATCAGAGTGCAGAGGCACTGCATGCTTTTGAAGGACTAACCCCTCCCATGGGGACAGAGAAGGGACAGAGAAGGGATTTGGCAAAACAGAAACTATTTTAGTGGCTTTTTTTCTAGTATCTTGGTAGAAACAGTGTCCATATGGGATAGATTCGAGAATGGGAGGTTGATATAGAGAATAGCTAAGATCACTCTCCCAGGGTCCAGCCTGAGCCTGTCCTCCATGGGAGAACTTGGGGACTCAGTATGATCCTGCACAGGTCTGGCCTCTGCACATTAAAGGGGGGCAGTAGAAGAGAAACACAGAGTTCCTGATGATAATCAAGGCATGCAAGAGGCCTGTATGAGGGGTCCTGTCATAGCTGTGGGGACAGTGGTAACCCATCGAGAAGTAAACATATATCCTGAGCTACTGGACCCCATCAACCATTACTTAAAGTCAGCAAGATAAGAGTTCTTGATGGCCCAGTATTATTGGGAGGGAGGAATTTCTGAGCAGCCTCTACATCACCCATTGGGATGCCTCCCATTCTATGTAGTGCCTACTTTATCAATGTCACTGCTGGTTTGCATTTGCTTCCCAAAGCTTCGAGGGCTTGCCCTCCAAGTCCCTTATCTGTGAGTCTGGGAAAAACAAATAATTAAAGGTTGATTGGGGAATATCAAACAAGTTTTTCCTCTTCAGACTATTCCCTGGTTTTGAGTAAATTTTGGCTAAAGTCACATACACACAGGTATCCAGAGATGCAGATGGATAGGACTTGCTGCCACTGGGAGTAGGTGGTTCTATTTACTGAGATGAGGAAGCTTGGGGGAGAAGAGGGTTTGGAGGGATGTGATTGGGAGTGATGATTGGCCCAGAGTAGAAACTATTTATGGAATAGAAGAATGAATGAAATGTGGGTAGGCCCAGGGCTGTGAGACTTGAGCAGTGAACACCAGTGCAGAATGAAGGTAAAATAGGAACTGCAAACATCCACAGTAAGATGACACTAGGGCTTTGATTGCTGTCCATATGCCACATAGTGTGTACTGCTGCTAGGGATGATCTCAGGGGATGTGTGCCTTGCTCAGATGTGCATCCCAGCAACTGATTTCTGGTAAGCAGATGTGGCTGCCATGGATAACCATGGAAATAGCATTATTAGCACAAACCCAGGTTTCCCATTGGTAGTCCTAGTTGTCAATAGCATGCTCTGTGGCCTTAAAGAGAACCCCTTAGCACTCCAGAGCCTCTGTTTGCCCATGTTTGGAATGGGAAGGAGGATTCCTGCTCTTTCACTTCACACAGCTACTGTGGGGCATACACAGATCATGTGCATATGAGTTGGAGTTAGTGGCTACTTCTGTGTGGTTTTAGAATATAACTGCAAATTTGGAATAATACCTACATGAAGTAAAGTCAAGTGTCAGGCTGTATGACAAAGATTAGTTTCTCTTTTGCTTGGAGTGGTGTGTGTGTGTGTGTGTGTGTGTGTGTGTGTGTGTGTGTGTAAGTGTGTAGGAGAAAGTATGCATAAGTATGTGAGACACTGTGTGCATAATAGAGATAGAAAGTTTGTGTATGTGTGTGAAAAAGTGTTGTGTTAGAGAGACAGAAAGTAAAACTGTGTGTGTGTATGAAGGAGAGGGAGAGAGCCCTCTCGTATACTCACTTACACATGCTTGTAGAGGGCTGGTATTTGAATACTTGAGAATTTTCAAGTAGTTGATATGATATGCTTCTCCCAGTGAGCATGCATGTTGCCTGTCTAGAGTGTATGCTTCCATTTCTATATACTACCCATGCTTCACACACACACACACTCACTCACAGGCACACACACTGGCCCTGCTATAGTATAAGCTGCTAATGCTGAGGGATATGTAGTCTGTTGAAGAACTCACAACATCTCTGCAATGATGTCTACATTATGAGTGCTTGTGTGCACATAAGAAATGCACTTGTGCACAGATGTACTGCTACTCCAAGACATCCCCAGAGAGACTTAAATTGGCTACCTCTGCTTCTTGGGCCCTGCCCTTGTATAAAGGCTCCTTTCCACGTGTTTGAGATGTGGCAGGAGAGCAGAGTTCAATTGCCTGACTTGTTCTGCATTGATGAGAATCTTCTCAGAAAAGGAAAATCATTTACCTGCATCCCAGACCCAGCAGGGTTCATTGGCCTGGAATGGGGTCCTCCAGCCCAAGGACTAGAGCAAACTCACCCTGGGAATCTCTCAAGTGAGTTGCCCTCTACCTTAGATTTGGCCCTGTGCTGGCACACTCATCTATCCCACCAGTCTGATCATCCCTCAAACTTGTATTTGAAAGGATACAATGCATGTATAGAAGTGATATTTCTTTAAAGCAGACTAAGGGCAATTCTGTGTTTCACCCAGTAGAATAGAGCGAATCTTGAAGGCTTCTCATTTATGGTACCACTGACATTCTGTGGCCTCTGGAGTGCAGTCCTGTGCTTAGCCATGGTCTGCTCGATAGCCCTACTTGTGTGCATGGCAGAACATGTGTTTTCTCTGTGTTCCATAAAATTGAGCCAGGATCTGCCATGGGAGTGACGAACCGGAAGGAGTCATACCTGGGTGAATATACCTTGTTACCCTTGAAATGACTGGAGAGGGGAGACAACTGTCATCAAAATAGGACTCAGGAGGGTGGCTGTGTAAGCTCAGTGGGGCCTGGTATTTAAGCATTAGAAGCTATGTCCTACACAAAATAGTCTGGCCTCTGGGATTCTGCGTGTATGCTTCAGAAACAAGATCTGTATATTTTGCACATAACAAGGATTCAGAGGTCACTGTGGGAGCTCTATGGGGAGGGAGGGATCTACAGAGGGCAAATAGAAGCATGGAAGCCCTGTGGACATGCTAAAGACTCTGGCTTCCCTCTGGACATCTGCTGGTGGCTGTGGGGCTTACAGGTCCTAGAGGTCGGGGTGGACTGAACCTGTCCGTTTTTCTTTCCCAGAAGAGACAGAAGGAGAAGACACCACATGTCGATGTGGGAGCCGCGCAGCAGCCACCTGTATGTGTGTACCGGTCTGTGTGTTTGGGAGTGGTTCTGTGTGGGCATGGGGGCAATGTGTTTTTGTCCTGGCCGTGGACAAAGCGACACTGAATGTAAACATCAGCGCGTGCCTTGGTGTGTGGGGTGTGTGTATGTGTGTGTTCCATGCACATCTGTAGACATTCCCATAGGCACCTTTCAGGGTATGCTTCTCTCAGTGTGTCTAAAGTATGTGGCTGTGTGTTGTTTGCTCTTGTGTTTGGTCTGAGAGTGGGCATGTGCTTACATTGGTAATTAGTGTCGGTGGGGGTTCCTTTCATGGAGGCAGTTGTGTGCATCTCTGTGTGGGCCTCAGTGAAGGTGCGTGTGGGTCCACGTGCATCTCTCTTTAACAGTTGGTGGGTGTGTGCACCCACAGGCACGTGAGTGAAGGAGTAGGTGTCTGCCCTTCCAGCTGAGGAGCCCACGCCTGTGTTCTCTATGCCATGTTTGTGTGTTCCTGCTGCCATGTGAATACTCATTAGGGCCTCCGAGCTGAAATGCTCAACAGTAGTTTGGGCGTGGACTGCTGGTGGTCTCTGTGAATGCCGTCTTTTGTGGGTTTCATTAGCTGTTGTTTTAGAAGCCTGTGTCCTCTTACTTTGAGGGGAAACTGCCACTGTTAGCGTATGGGGTTGCTTGCCACTGTCATTATCTTCGTTGGTAGCTGAACATGGTGCATCTCAGCCCGTGCTATCCCAGGCTAAAATCTGAGAGGGATGGGAAAGGAGAAGAATCTCTGACCTTGAATGAAGGGCCATTGGTGGGTACATAATTGATGCCCTCAACCAAAAGAGTAATGGGGAGGGAAGGCCGGGTGAGTCTTTGTACTGCCACTCTCTCTGGTCTTAGGTACGCGGGGCTCAGTTCTGGGCTGATCCATCCTTTACTATTGTACCTCAGAAGCAGGGATGGGAGGGAAAATGCCCTATCCTGGATTTAGAGGCACTGGTCTGACAATTTTTCTCACGTGTGGCCACTCTGCTCCTTGTATCTCTGTGCTTCTTGTCTGGGATCCTTGCGCTGCCCCCCTTCAGCTCCTTCACCCCACGATCCCTATTCATGGATCCTGTAAGCCACCATCTCTAAGCCTGACCCGCTATCAGGTTCTGACTGTAGCCCTCGCCCCTTCTCCTTTGTCAGGAGGGAGCGGAGGCGCCGGCACCACATGTCTGTGTGGGAACAACGCACCAGCCAGTTGAGGAGACACATGCAAATGTCCAGCCAAGAAGCTCTCAACAAAGAGGAGGCCCCGCCGATGAACCCCCTCAATCCACTCAATCCACTGAGCCCTCTCAACCCACTCAATGCTCACCCCAGCCTCTATCGGAGGCCCAGGCCCATTGAGGGCCTAGCCCTGGGCCTGGGTCTTGAGAAGTGTGAAGAGGAGCGCATTAGCCGTGGGGGTTCCCTCAAGGGCGATATAGGGGGCCTGACCAGTGCCCTGGACAACCAGAGGAGCCCCTTGTCCTTAGGCAAACGGGAGCCACCTTGGCTGCCCAGATCCTGTCATGGAAACTGTGATCCAACCCAGCAGGAGGCTGGGGGAGGAGAGACAGTGGTGACTTTTGAGGACCGGGCCAGGCATAGGCAGAGCCAGAGGCGCAGCCGCCATCGCCGTGTCAGGACTGAGGGCAAGGAGTCTGCCTCCGTCTCCCGGAGCAGGTCTGCCAGCCAGGAGCGGAGTCTGGATGAAGGGGTGTCCATTGAGGAGGAGAAAGAACACGAGCCTCAGGGTAGCCACAGGAGCAAGGAGCCGACCATCCATGAAGAGGAGAGAACCCAGGACTTAAGGAGGTAAATGATCCCAGGGAAGTACTAGGGGGGCCTCAGTTTCCCCTTTTATAAGATGCAGAGGATGTCAAAGCACCATCTATATGGAAATGATGATCTCTTCTGGAGCATCTCTGTAGACAGTGGGTCCTGGGTGGGAATGAATCAGTGGGTATGGCCCAGGGGTGTTTGCCACTATGTATGTGGATGGGGATGCTGACAAGGCATGCTGTGTGCTCTCCAGCAGGCCTGCTCTGCCTCCTCTCTCCTTTCCCTTTAGCCAGATGCATCAGCCATTCTAGAACTGCTTCTAAACCATGGCTGTCTCCTGCCCTTTATTCCCAGGACCAACAGTCTGATGGTACCCAGGGGCTCTGGACTGATGGGAGCTCTTGATGAGGCAGAAACTCCTCTCGTCCAACCCCAACCCGAGTTGGAAGTAGGGAAGGATGCAGCTCTGACGGAGCAGGAGGCTGAAGGCAGCAGTGAGCAAGCCCTGCTTGGAGATGTTCAGCTGGATGTGGGCCGGGGCATTAGCCAGAGTGAACCTGACCTCTCTTGCATGACAGCCAACATGGACAAGGCTACCACAGAGAGCACCAGTGTCACAGTTGCCATCCCCGATGTTGACCCCTTGGTGGATTCAACAGTGGTGCACAGTGAGCAAAGTCTGTTTTTTTTTTTTCACCCTAGCCCTCAACTCCAGCCGGAGCTGGGGGCAGCTGGCTCTGGGATTCCTCTAATAAAGACACCCAAGCAGGACTAAAACATTTTCCACAGTCGTGAGGCAGTGATCTCCTGCAGACTTAGTTTCCTCAACTTTAATTCTGTCCTCTAGAATTTGGTCCTGTGAGTCCTCAGAGCAGTCACCTGTGACTCTGGAACCACTTATGTCCTGATGTCACCCGATGGCATCCTTATGACCTCCTCAATCTTCTGGGAGAAACCTGTGGGGGCACTTCTAGCTCTGGCCCCTGCTCTGCTCATTTAATGGTGTCAGAAAAATCGCTACCTCTCCGGAGGCCACTGTGTCATGTATAATGTGAGAACACTGAGATAGATGATCCCTGGAGACCATCCCTGCACTAACATTTCATGACTCTATTATTCTTATCAATTTTCTCTCTCCTAGGAGCTCTCAGACACACGTCCCCATCAAAATTATTCCTTCAAGCAGATGCTAACCTATGAAACATTAGCAGGAAACACAGGGAAAAGCACTTAACTTACTATGCTACTTGGCTCTACCCCCATCTTTCCCTTCATGTTATTCCTGTCCCTGCCCGACTGCAACTGCATATTCTATGTCTACATTAACCCCATGCCCTATGCCTGCACTGTCCTACCCCAGTCCCTTCCTTGCATCTCATCTCTGCCCTGTCCCTAAATCCCTTTCCTGCTTTAATCCCATTCCTTATGATGACCTGAACCTCCTCCCTGCATTAACCATGTACTTTTATTTCTATCCATGTATGTCATCCCTCCATTAATGCCATGCCCTATAATGTGTCCCCTACTTTATCCTTGCATTACTCCACTTTCTACCCTATCTGTACGCCCCGGCCCTGTGATCACAGACTATGGCCATGGGGCTCCATCAGAGCACGTTTCCCTTCCTTTTGCACATTCTTCTTGCATGGCAGGCTCCTTGTCTCCCATCTGCCTTCCCTCTGCGGCTGCTTCACCTCCAGTCTTACTTCATATTCTCAGAAATGCCATATCTGCTTTTAAAAGCCAGTCTCCCATACCCAGTGCTTGCTGGGGTTGACTTGGGCAGGTTTCAGGCTTCCAGGTCCACAGCCATTTTTAATGTCTGATTTTATACTTTCACTAAGTAAGAAGTGCTTGAGAACCTCTTTTATGAGAAACATTTTAGCTTGACCATCTGTCTAGCTAAAGCTAGAGCTAGTGTGTGGCCTTTGTCACAGGTGTAGTGTGTGTGTGTGTGTGTGTGTGTGTGTGTGTGTGGTAGAGGCTTGTAGGTTTGTGCTATCCTTTAGCTGTTAGAAGACCCCACCTGTGGGCCAGGACCACAAAGGCTTTCTACTTAGCCCAAGTCTCGGAGTAGGGAGTAGTGCCATTCCTTGGTCTTAGAGCAGTGGGAGTGGGGTGAGGGGCTTCCCAAGCCTTCCCTCCACTGAGAGCCTTCTGTCCCCTGACTTGAGCATAGAAACAGAGAATAGCCACTTGACAGTGCTATGTGACCTCTGGCTGCTTCATCTCCCTCCCCCCAGTCCTGGAACATAGTCATGGGCCTATATTCACATGAATATTGCATTCTCATTTCTGTTTCCATCATGCTGGAGAAGGCACAGCCCAAAAGGCAGTGCAGAGAGACTAATGGTTTCTTGAAATCTTCCACTGCAGAGTTCAGCCATAAAAGAGAAAATGTGGTTATCGTTTCTATGGTACAGAAGGCTGTAGTATATAAAGTGGGGAAGGGTGAGGATAAGAGGAGGAGAAGGAGTTGATGTGGTGTGGGGGAATCCCCTGATACTGTCAGGATACCTTCCCAGGGTCGCCCATGGCATCCCTTCCTATTCTTTCTGTGCTATTCCCAACTCAAACCAGAAACCATATGTATCAGCAGGTTTCTGAAGATTTGACCCTTTCTGCTTGCAGTTAGCAACAAGACTGATGGAGAAGCCAGTCCCTTGAAGGAGGCAGAAACCAAAGAGGAAGAAGAAGAGGTGGAGAAGAAGAAGGAGAAGCGAGAGACAGGCAAAGCCATGGTGCCCCATAGCTCCATGTTCATCTTCAGCACCACTAACCCGTGAGCCACACTCCTATTGCACCCACCTTTGATACTAGGACAGCTAGCCAGTATCTGAACCAGCCCAGGATGATGGAGAAGAGGGGAACCCCGTCATCTCCCCGAACCCTCCTGGCAGAGGATAGCTAGATATGAAAATATTTGGGGCCCAAGAAGTGTGGTGGAACATTTAGTTGAAGAGTCTCTCATATCTGCACCCAGAGTCTCCAGGATAACTGAAGACAGACTACAGGGGAAATGTCACGGGAGAGGACTGTCACCTACTCTGATCAGTAGTAGTTAGGATAGGGAGAATGAAGGAAATTTCTTTGAGGATGTCACCATACATTCTGAAAAAGACAAATGAAAGATTCTAAAGATGCTCAAGCAACTACTGGAGTTTAGGGTTTTAGTACCACTGTTCTATATATGGAGTTTTAAAAAGAGCTTCTTTACCTCAGTAGCATGGAGAATGCATGTCAGAGAAGAGTCTAAAATGTTAGATCTAAGAGATACTGGATTAGGAAAGAGTCTGTGCCTTAAGTCCTGGGACATGGCATATGGATCAGCTTCTGAGAAAGGAAGACAAGAAGACCTTCAGTGGCCTTGTGGGCAGTGTTCAGGCAGGCCTGTGGGATGGGAGGAAGTTGGATTCAATTGTCAGGTCATCCAGAGCTGTAGCATAGAAGACAGGAGTTTCCATCAGAGTAGTCAGGAAGCCATGGAAACATGTGGCTCCTTATCAGGTGTTTTAGAATCAAGATCTGTTTTTGTGTTTCTTGGTTCTTTAGAATTTCCTAGGCAGGTCCTAGTTTCCTTGCTCAAGGGAGAAGAAGCTGAGATGCAACCGAGGGTAACATAAGCCACGGGAGGCTGTGTGGTCTCATGTGGCTATTCCTCACGGCTCACTCATGTGTGCTGATAATGACCTTGGCTTGCGTGACATAGCCTCTAACCAATCTGATTACCATTCTCCACTGGGGACTGAAATCAAGGAGTGGTACTTGAGAAATTAAATTGCTGTCCCTGGTGACTTCCTTAGCCAAGGGCCTGGCTATCTGGAAGAGGCAGGAAGTAAGAGGGGCAGGCATGGGAATGATGCAGGACAAGCTCAGCAATGTGAGTATAGCAGGATTCTCTCACCCACAGGATCCGCAGGGCCTGCCACTATATTGTGAACCTACGCTATTTTGAGATGTGCATCCTCCTGGTGATTGCGGCAAGCAGCATTGCCCTGGCAGCCGAGGACCCTGTTCTGACCAATTCGGAGCGCAACAAAGTGGGTGTACAAGGGCAATTTGTGAACTTTCTTGATGCCCTGGGGTCTACTCCATCCCAGGTCCTCCCCTCCAGCAGCAGAGGTGAATCAAAATAAGGTAGCAGAAAGGTTTGGGGTGATAAGGTGCCAATTCCTCAAAGATAAGTACAAGCCCTTTCCAGAGAAGCCCCACATCCACAACCATGCCACTGTTTTTAGGCTGCAGCAGCAGGCAGGCTTGACACTCAGAGCTAGCCAGGCTTCTGAGAAGGCCCTGCTGCTATTGGAGGGCCTGGGTGTAGTAGGATCTACTATGGAACCATAGGTGAAGTGTGTGGATATAGGGGGACTGCAGCTCACCCACAGGCCATTGAGTCACCTCCTGGGTACCACACAGAAGCTGAGAGTTGTATGGGGACAATTCAGACCCCAGAAATTCTGACTAAAAAAAGGAATATCCTTGGACCATGTGGCTCAAGCAGGTTCACTAGCTCCTCCTTCCTTCTGCTCACTTCTTAGCTCAGCTATAGGTAGTTTTGAAAATTCCTCATTGTGTTCTGAGATGGGAATTTATGGGAGACAGGGCTGTCTCCCATACACAAAGGTGTATATGTCAGTGGGAATGTGTGCGTAGAGCTTGCAGCCTTACATGGTCCTCTCTGTCTCGTTTATGTGTGTCTTACAGGTCCTGAGATATTTCGACTATGTTTTCACAGGCGTGTTTACCTTTGAGATGGTTATAAAGGTAAAGGGTTTCAGGGGAAACCTGGGCTTGGGTTTCCGTTACATCACTTGTCTGCCCCTTCCCATGCTGCCATCTCCTAGTCCATGGCAGCAGTAAGAGAGCCTCTGCAGAGCTCTCTCTGTCCTCAGTGTCCTCAGTAAAGGCACAAGGCTGTGTGGATATGATTAAATAATGTAGATCTCTTCTCATGACCTGAACAGGAGGCAGGTAGTAGGTAGACACACAGGGTTGTGTACTTCTGCACAGTGCACTTCCGGTCTTAAACTGAGTATATGCCCAGACAGTGGGTTAGGGAGAGGGAAATCTTTCCAGATTCCATCTAGTTCCAACCACACTCCTCCTCTCTAGACACCTGACACCCCAACAGGACTATCTCATTCTGAGTTTTACCCATCTGGGGTTTTCATCCATCCATGCATATGTGGCAGTGTTTGGCACTCTCTGGGACACCGAGGAGAGAAGAATATTCTGTAATGGCAGAAAAGTCTAGTCCAATCCTATGTGACCATAGGAAGGGGGCTGCATCCTCACTGTAAACTGGAGAATTTGTGTGACTAGGAGAAGAATCTTCAGTCCTCACCATTACCCAGAATGCTTGCTGGATACCCTCCTTGCTCCTCAGGCCCAGGGTGGGCTTGGCTAAGGAGACAGTGGCAGTAGAGCCCTTGCCATGAGGAAGCAAAGGCACATGTAGGTGTTACTTACACCACTGGGCTCATCTATTCAAACCCTGTCCTGCAGATGATAGACCAAGGCTTGATCCTGCAGGATGGATCCTACTTCCGAGATCTCTGGAATATCCTGGACTTTGTGGTAGTGGTTGGTGCATTGGTAGCCTTTGCTCTGGCGTAAGTAGATTCTTTTATGTTCTGTTCCCTTGACTTTCTTCTTCCTGGATGCCTGGTTGATTTGAGCCTATCTCCAGGGCCCACCTGGGAAAGGAACATTCTGGGTAGTGCCTGACAGTAACACTCTGGGAGTTAGCTTGCCAGTGGTTAAGTAGATTCCCTACAGTTTTACAGCTCTAGTTCACGTGTCCTAGACGAAGAAGCAAGATTTAGGAGCACCAGTAGGAAGAAGGGAGAGCCAGGGCATCATGGAAGAACGATGTAGGGGCAGAGCAGAGTTGGGGAATATCAGAATCCTGGGCATCAGGAGGGTCCCTGCCCATGAGGAGTGGTAACAGACCTAGTCCAGGGATATAAAAACCATATGTATACATGTGAGCTCAAAGGAACATTCTCAAAAAAAAAAAAAAAAAAAAAGATTTCTCAAATCTTCCTTGAATATATAAATTATTCTATGTAGGAAACCAACTCGTATTCATGATAATTAGGGAAATTTATTTACCTCACATATTGCTCTAGCTCTAGTAGGTTTTCAACTACATCATGGTATTTCCTGTGGAGTTCAGCCATGGAAGAGGGCTCTGCTAGCTCCCTGGAACATTCTAGAGCATGTCTGAGAAAGACAAATGCTGCCAGAGACATTTTAAAAACAAATCAGGCAGGGGGAATGACCCATCAGGATGGATATCAGGTGTCTGGGATCAAAACAGGTTCCCCTTCTTCTGGTGGTATGCGGGATTCCTCAAAGCCATCCTACCAGCCTTTTTGAGTCTTGTCTTCTAAGCAAGGCAGGATATACTTTCATTCTGATGAGTACGAGAAAGCATCTGGGTGCTGCTTTCATTGATGGCAGACTTCTGGGGAAGAGGAAAGATGTTTCCATAGGTTTGCCTTGCCCATATCCAAGGTGTTAGAAAGGGATCATCCTCTGTTCAACTTCTCCCAAGCACTACCAGCTTCCATCCCCAATCCTCACTGGCAATTAAACAAGTAGGGCAAGAACTAAGATGTCAGGGGCAAGGGTATCGTGTACCATGGTGAGAGTTCCCAGCTGTGTTAAGTCTAAGACTTCCAGAACCTGGAAGTCCCCTGTGCCCATTGCTGCAGGAGCTATGAGAGAGAGGCCCTCTCACAGAACCAGAGTATGTGATGCTGAGACAGGATGGTAGCAAGGTAATTCAGTGTGTCTTGTCCCTATGTGCATAGGCATCTCCACCCCTGTTAGAGCTATGTAGGGTCACCTTTGCCCTCACAGAATGAAAGCTTCCTATACATGTGGCTGAACTGTTCCCAAAGAGATTTCACAAAAGTACGGCACCTCCACACACACTCAGACTCTGTGTGTGTTCTCATGGCAACATACAAAGAAAGGCAACCGCGTCTCTACCAAGGGATTCACAACTTGTCTTCCTCCTTGCACAATTCATTAAGGTCTGCTCTTGCTTTGAGAAAGCCCACATTGCTTGTTGTTTGTTAAAGACAAATATATGACCATTAGGTTGTTAAAAGATCCAGTTCTCTTCTTTATTCTATCAATGCATTTGTATATATTACCCATTATTGTTTCTTTCCCAGTTTGTTATCAGTAGCACACTCTATCTTTGAGTAGTGGATAGTGAGAAAAGCATAGCAGACAGAACTCACCAGACCTTGAAGAAGAACAGAATTCACAGGTGACAGGACAAGGAAAGGTGACAGTTGTGGGGCCAGGCGGAGCCTAGTTTGAATCCCAGCCCTTCTCATATTAATTATCCTAACCTCCATTTCTAACCTCTAAAACAGAGACAAAATGGGGTTTGCAGAGTACTTAACACTGGGGCTATCTATGTGAATACTCAGTAAGTGTTAATTCACTGCTTTATTCTTCTAATTCCTTGGGGTGTCAAATGAAGTAGGAATGAACTATATCTCGGTGGCAATTTACACATTTAACTCAAGATGGGTAAAGAGTGGTCCAAGACTCAGCTGCTTCCCACCCAGCTACCTCTTCCCCACAAGTCGTGAGCCTGTGCTCCTAACAACCAGCAGGTGTACTGGGTTTGAAGGGGGATAGGAGGTACCCTTCAGAGGAAGCTCATGCATCCTGTCCTGTGCCCAGTGTTCAGCTGCTTCCCCTTGGGCTCCTTTGATGCCAGAGTGCTTTAAGGTTGGCATCTATCTCATTCTCTTTTGTACTCCTTGAAACATGGCAGTGCTAGCTTTGGTGCTGGTAACAAGGGAAGCCTCAACAATCCCAGAGCGGAAAACTCTGTTTCTGGTATCCTTCACCAGACTCCAGAAAGACCCTGGCTCCAGGGTCCATCCACATTTATGGGAAAGAGTAAGACCTATGATCTATTATTGTCTTTTAGTGATATCATATTTTGAACTTTCCCATCTGAAATGTAGATGGTCCTTGCTCATCCTTCTCCATTGTTCTTTTGTTGTCTTCCTACTTAATTTGCCATGCCTGTTCCTTCTCTTGTTTCTCTGCCTACAGTGTGAGCTCCCATTCTCTCCTTTGACTGTTGCCACATTTGCTCAGGTCCTGCTAACATGTTCTGATGCTCACATGCCTGTGTGTCTTATCCCTGTACTTGCCTTTTCCTTGTTGATGACACTAGAGAATTCAGCTCTTCTGTCACAAAAAACAGGATTCCCAAGAGTACCATCTGCCAGCGACCTATGGCAGAGAATGGAATGAAATAACCATGTCCATGGTCTCCGGAGTCAGGGGATCAGGCCAAGAGAAAGCCAAATGTGGGTTTGTCTGGCGGCGTTTTAAGTGTCTTTCTCATTGTTGTAATATTCATCCTGGTATCGCATAGGTTTGCCTCAGTGAATGTCCACTCTTCCTATAACCTTTTCCCATCCCACTTTCTTTCCCTCCCCCTTGAAATTGAACCCTGCCCTAGTGAGATTTCTGCAAAGGCTATTGCTCTGTCAGTTTGAGCAACTGAAAGCAGTTGCCAAGGTAGCATGATTATCTGGTTCCCCAGAAACCAGAAGTGATTTCCTATCCCTTCCACCACAGCCAGACAAAAGAACCCAGCCCAATTGGCCAGGTCTGGTGACAAAGGGATGACCTCCCACTTATTCTGAGAGAATGCTGCACTATCCAGGGTCTCTCTGCTGTAGAGAACTGCACCTCCCATCATCTGTGTTCTCAATAAAGATGTATGTAATAGCTGTGGAAATCTATTCTCCGGAGGTAGTCAGACTAAGGGAGTTTATAATGTAATCTTGGCGTTCTACTTGGGTACTTGGTTGACTTTTAACAAAGGGGGTAAGAGGGGGATTGTGTTATCAATATGGTCATATATGGGTTTAAAAACATCACATTGGAACTTTTCTGTGCTTTCCAGTCCATTTATGAGAACACTTGGGGCTCCTTCCTATGCTGATATCTCCTAGGGAAGTGCTTTGGCAGGATTGAGACTAGCTTTCCCTGAAGCCCTCATGACAGCACCTCATTTTTTTGGCCCACATGGAGACAGACTTTTTGTCAACTATAAATATCCCAAACTGTGCCTTTTCATCTTTGGGGTTTTAAGCTATGAGTGACTAGGTCTGTGAAATCTTTTGTCCTTTCTTTCTAGAAAGGTCACATTTGTCTTCTCCTGCTAGCCTCAGCCTCCACAGTTGATTTCTCTCCTATCTGCTCTTTGGCCTCAAGTGTGGGAAGGCAGAGATGGTTACAGCCTTGCCCTTTTGGGGTATCTGAACATCAGGCAAACCCCCCACTTCAGGGATCCCCTAGACTCAGATGTGTAGTGGGGAATCAGAGGACTACAAACTAGGTTATGTCTTAAGCGCTAAACCCACACTCTGAACCATGGTGTTCACCCTTCCACCTCCACTGTGTACAATGTGTTACTTGATTAGCTGAACTTAGATGAGCCCCTGTGTGCATTCTCAATAGCAAGTGTGCAGCTAATGCTGCTTGTTAGTCTAAATGTTTAATAGAAAAAGCACTGATAGTTCAGCTTCCACCTTCCCTACCTCCTGTGCTAGTCAGTCAGGCGAGCTCCCAAGTGACTATGCCAGGGCTTTCTATAGCTGTGTGCTGTTGTAGCAGGGCATGAGGTGAGGTCAGGACTCCCTGGCACATGAGGGGATCTGGCCCCATTTGGCCTTTCATTATTTAGTCCTTGGCCAGAAGCAAAAACATGAGTCAGCTGGCCTCTGGATGCCAGAAGGAACTAGACTGCCCACATTAGCGTTTATTACACTCCTTTCATTGAAGTGTGTCACTTTCCTGACACTTGACACTCTACCCTAGTAGCTAAGATGCCCGAGGTCTCTCAAATGCACTGAGAATTAGCCACAGCAGCTGAGCTGGTTGTGAGTTCATTGAGTGAAACCCATAGACACAGGCAATCTGAGACTTGGAAGTGCCTCATGGAGCCAGAGCATCTGTTCCTCTGGGATGGCTATTCTGGGGGATTTGTCTCTCTGATGGAGAGGATACACATACCATCAGGAAAGAGTGGATGTTTGGAACTGAAATGCATGTTCTCATTTACCCAGAAGGGTATAGAAATACAGAACAAACCCTTCACCCAAACTCAGTTATATACACCTGCCTTTCACTGATGTCTGGATCTAAAATAGTCCCTCACATATAAAGCAATGCCTGTGGGGTCTCTTTCTTGACTGCCCTTACTCTTTTAGAACTAAAAAGTGTTTCTCAAAAGGATCTATTACTATACTTTGTCTTGAAGGTGTAAAAATGGACCTATTTACTACTGAGCCAGATACAACATCTACTTCTCTTACTTTGGAATAAAATAAAGCTCTAAAATTGCATTTAGCCACCAGGTAGCCCATTAAACTCTGAATTTAGAACTCTTGATGCAAAAAAAAAAAATTGGAAATGTCCGGCAGTGAACAGATAGGATGTTGACCCTCAAGAATCCAGCCTCCCAATGCACTTCATCTCATTTTGTGTCTGGGTCAGGACACTAAAGGTGGTCAGTGCCTATTGATTCTTAGGAGTTCCCATTACTTTATTGTATCCT